CAACGTTGGTCTCTCATCACTGTGCTGTTCCTGGTTGTTCGTATCTCATGTTATACTATGACATGGTTGACAGTTGTGCTGACTCTAAAATGTTCTAGATACGCTATATTGGAATGCCATATTTTGTGTATGTCACTTATTATGGCCAACAAGTTGGCGCTGTACTAATAGCCCGTCTCTCATTATTAGTATCGACGCTCTGGGTACGTCGTATATGCGTTGTATTCGATTCTTCTGACTGGCGGCACACAGCATATATCCCAATATTCTCGCTGACAGACGAAGTGAGTATTCCGCAACCATATCATTCCTATCTAATGAATAACGCTCATATGTAGGGGTGAGTAAAATTCTGAACATTGAACTTGGCTCAACATAATGATTACACAGGTGTAAGTTTTGGAGTGTTTCATCATCGTACGAAGTTGATCACTAATTAGGTCTTTCAGGCTATCTTATGACCTACGCAAAGAATGGGCAAGATTTGATCGTGTTTGTTACGTTGGGCAGTGAGTTACCCAGCTTCAATATATTGACTCAACTGAAATATGACGCAAGTCATCATGATTGCTCGGTTATATGCCATGTATCAGGGATCTAGAATGATGCTTACCTTTCTTGTCATTATCTTCCTGGCTGTAAATATCGCCTATGCAGTAATAATCGACATAGTAGAAATCAAGGATACCACAGCGGGTAAGCTTTACTCGTTGACTTGAAGAAAATAGCTCATTGGACAAATACCAGAGGAGCTTATACTCTCTGGAAGACATATGTGCCATTATGAATATAAGGGGGACTACCAGCTCTTGTTTCAAATGAATTGGATACTCATCACTATTTGGGAGATCCTCGCATTGTGTCTTTCAGCCTGGATTGCTGTAAAACACTTCCGTGACCTGGAACGATTCGGCCCATCAACAGGATCGATCATCGGGGACTGTTTCAGAGTACTGATAGAATCTCATGTGTTTTATTTTGCGAGGTGAGCTTGTAATGTGGATGTGCTCATCTTTTCTGCTAAAGCTTTGCACGTGCTAGCTTTGTTGGTGTCCCTATCATCCAGTTTATCCTTAACTCTCCAGAGCTCGAGGTACGCCAACTTGTTGCCGACATCTGCATCCAACCACTGCTCATCATTTCTGTAGCATTCAAATTATATGGCACATTCCATACTCGATGGTGCTTATCAGATTTTATCTGGCGTGCAGTGGTTTGTGCTGGGACCACGCCTCGTCCTTGGTGTTCGAGAATATCATGCCAAACTCGTGGCCGAATCCGACGCAGAAACTAGCATGAATTTGATTGTCTTCCAGGAGCGTGTATATGTACCAACTAGCAGTTCTGTATAGGGAAATGCTTGCCGAGTGTTTTGCAGGGAGATATTCGGTTGAGGATCCGTCATGTTATTTATTCAAGATATGGTGTTTCAAAGTATATTTAAGACGAAATTTATGTAGACATTTCTTATATATTGTATCACGTCTAGCAACCAACCCAGTCCTTGATACCCAGACAAGTGATTCTATGTATTTGTGAAGTTCCGTTATCTGAGCACACATGGTGAGGAAATGACCGCGATTATTAAGCCCAGATGGCTGATAACTCATTGGCGTTCACAAATCTCTTCATCCATCTTGGCCATGGAGAAGGAAAAGGAATAAATCACCCAGATTCCGAGTCATGGCTCGACTGTGTGCCTGTATCACAAATGAGCATGACAAGGAAATGGGAGTGGAAAATCAGAGAACGATAATTTCAAGCCAGAAGGCCTCAAGTGCACCTTTAAAATTATTTATTAGGCATCGACAACAATATTTTGAAATGACATGCATAAATACGTTGATCGGAGTCGCGCCATCGTAGTATTCCGCCCACGCGACTGCGAATTGTGCATTGAATTTGCATCCTTTGAGTGATTTCTCGGAGCTACAATGACTGTCAGAGTAAGTACCGATCGAGATACATACTTGTGTGCACAATCTGGACCGAAGGAATAGAAAATGAGGGGAAAGTAGAAGTAGCGTCTGAGCTCAGACAGCTGACGGCACAAGGGTTTTGCAGCATGTCGACTCTCGCCTTGTCGTGAATTAGCGTCTGTTTGAACACAAAGAGGAAGGAGGAATAAGTGACGTGGGCAGGCAAGGATCTTGCGATAAACACTGCCATCGTGGTCATGATACGGCGACCGCTGACCAGGCCGACAGAGCGGCGATTGGAAATTTGTTGGTCAGAGGGCAATCATATTGAACTGGAGATAGTGAACGGGGAAGATAGGTATGCATTCAAAAGCTAGAACAACCAGTAAGGACAAACAAACTGGTGCGTAACTGTTTCATCATCAAATGCCAAATGTTTAAGAAAATAATTGGCCATCCAACTCGTCCAGCATCTCTTTCAACTCCTGTTGCTTCCTTGTGATGGCATGGGGCAACCATATACACTGAAGCATCCCTACGCCAAGACCCTCCGGATATGAGGGTCATAATGGCGATAGTAAGAGAAATACATATTTCGATAGCGGTAAATATAGCACCCGCGAGTGACGTGGAATTTAAAACAGACATTGACGATCAGTCTCGAGCGTGAGGTTGGATACGCAACTTTTAAGGGCTACTGATGGAGCAGAAATTGTCCAAGGCCGCAAAATCCTGTGATCACGAGTCCGAACACAAGGAAACACAAGTAGGAGCGACATTTATTATCAAAGGCTAGATGGTTGATAAAATCATAACTCAACAAGAACCGAGTTTTATCAATAATCTAAACCAAATGGATAGAAAGTGAGGGGAATGGAAGATGGAAGTAGTAATGACTCGCCCTTCTCCTGAAATAGCGTGTGTTTGAATACAGAGGTCTGAGAGGGATAAGTAAAGTGGGCAGGCGAAAATCTTCTGTCAGCATGATCGCGATAAAGCGGCCGCTGACCAGGCCATACGAGTGGTGATTCTGAATTTGGTGGTCAGAGAAGACAATCTTGCGTCTGGATGCACAAGTGATGATGAAGGTGGAAAATGGGTAAGATGGGGATGTATCCAAAGATATCTTGTAGGAATAATAGAGGGTGCCGTGATGTCTCCCATATGGGCCGTCCGAAAGACCAATAATGAAGACAATTTGTGGACGACCGGTGAAACGGTGTGCATGTACCAATTAGCAGTACTGTGTAGGGAAATTCTGTATACTAGAGGAGATTGGTCAAGGATCCGTCATTAGATTGAAATACTGACATGTCGTTGTTGGAAATGTTTTTGAGACTCCGAGAATCTATTTCATTTTACTTACGGACACCTATCCACTTGCAATTGCTCGGATCCCAAGTGAACGCGAACTTTTCGAATTGACTACTTTCCCAAAACCAGGTCTGAACAAATAGTACTGCTCTGCAAGTAATAAGCACTAGACCGTTCTGGAACTCAAGTATTCACATGTGCCATTCTCTCTCGCTTGCATCATGGAGGACAAGAATCGACGTGCTTGTGAAGCTCTCGGATGGACAGGCACTGCGGTACCAAATCTACTAGAAGGAAAGACTATCTTCCATTTAGTATTTGGTCTTCCTAGTATTTATATATATAAGACTAAAGTGTTGCTCCTGTGACAGGTCCTCCAGACACAGTCTTCCTCGCGCTCAAGGACATTGGCCGCCACTTCTACTACCCATTCAGTCTACTGCGAGTACTGCTGCCCTAAAGGCTGAGTGCTAGTTGTACTTCTTTTGTACGCCACGAACTCCAAAACGTCCGGCTGGCTACCCATGTATACATAATGCTACGTTCATATTTTCCATTTCGTTCCTACCCTTCACCTTGTATTCATTTCTAAACATGATTTCTGCCCTTCTTATCTACAACATGATGATACTCTAACTTCCCCAGCCTCAGGATACCACACATCCCACTATTCTTCTCAGCTCATCTTCGCACCAATCCGGCATCAGATTCAAATCCACATGTAAGTATCACAGTATTTATATACGTACCTTTGGCCAGCACGCTGGCATACTTTACTCCACAACTCAATGGCGTCTTCTCTCTCAAGACTTCCAATCTGTTCACGCCCGCCCATATGCACCCCAAACAAGTGGCACTGGTGTTGGAGACGGCTTATATAGAGCATCTAGTTTTGGCCAGCTGTAAGTTGTTTATCCTGTTCTACTACTCTTGACGACACATGCTAGGCTGACCATCTATACAGTGCTCGTGCGTCCGCCGTCCTCGAGCATAGACTCGCTTAATTATTGATCTGCGCCCAAACTTTAACCTTACCCCGACCTCACTCGAGAACAATGAGTCATCAACCGACTGAACCATGTATCTCAATGCTCAAGGTAAGCATTTCTATGAACTTTTGTCTAAGATATGTTCTGACGAATCTGAAGTTATATTCCCCTCGAGGTCCATCCATATGGACAGCCCAAATGGACGATAGGGAAATGGTGATTTTCATGAAGAACCATTGCTTTATCCGTCATCTCTTTCTCCGCGAATCTTCGTTTTCGTTTTAAGAAACCGAATTCACCCCTCGTACTCTTTTCACCCGAGTCCAACGACTGGTCCATGTGGATGAAGCAGGACCGTTACGTGACCAGCTGTGTGAACTTCGATATGCTACTCAAGGGTGCCACTGATCAGTGACGATGGTGTCGATAGTTGAGTTTGTGTCAAATCTGGTTCGATGCTTCACGCTAACAGACGTGCTACTTTCTCTATGGGTATTCACAGATCACAAGGACCTGAACAAAAACCCGACGCGCAATCCTACGATCACTATCACTTTCTTCGTTCTTTGTGCTCAGACAGACGATAATCAGGGAATTTGTCATCGTGTTGAATTTTCTGACTATCATTTGTCTGAGCTCAGACGCGCTGCTTTTACTTTCCTGGTTCATGATACTTTCGCATCGCATTCCACATGCCTGGCCCACACGGATGATTGCGGAAGAGGATAGCATGAAAGCAGGAGCAATGTCTCATCAGCCATATGTGTTTTTACGATCACTGTTGCTTCTCACGGCTTTTGTCTCAGACAGCTGGAGATGCTTTGTTAAGTGCGCTTTCCTCCCATGAAATACTCGAGCCGTAGGCCTCTTAAAACTATCTTACTCCACATCGTTAAATCGTGCTTGAACCCGGCGATTGCTGTTGACGACATGGCTTGCTGACAGCGGTCAGCTTTGGATGGTTCAACCAGATGATCGACGCTCAATCAGTCGACTAGTAGTCTTTAGGACATCGACACCCTACTTCCCTTCATGATTCGGCATTTCTTCTCTGCAGCCCAGATGGATGATGATGAAGGCGTCGAGGGATTTTCAGTTGATCTGACACATTATCAGCCATCTGTGGTCTCACGACTTGCTCAGGTCGCTTCTCCTTTTACTTTTCTGGGGCACACGATAGAGCCATGCGATCTGATCAAAGTACGTATGTCAGAATGTCGTGGTCGGCGTCTTATTGATACTTTTCCAGTCCCGGATTTCTTCTCTACTCCCCACTCAGTACTTCTCATCTTCTTGCCTTGCGCATTTATTCGGAACAGAGGCATACACTCACCCCGTAAGTCTCAATTGTCATGCTCGATATGGTCAAATCATGGTTGAACAGACGTCAATCAGCGATATAGGGCTTACTTCTACCCCCAAATTCAGCCTATCATTCAATCCCTCTCTCATCGTGCTTTTATTTAGTTCGGGATTGGAAGTACTTTGTCCGTAATCGAAGGCCCCTGCTTCGTCTCCGCATCCACAAGGTCAGACATCACAATGTGACAGATGTTTGTGAATCACTACTATACTAATCTTCATCTGATCTTCCTGCCAGATCATACCGGTACATATCAATCCCCGTCAACGTTCACATGCGCATCCAGAATGATCTCTAATCGGTAGAATGGTACTGGTCGGAAATCAAAATATACTTTCGTTCAATCGATACCTAGGACTTCCATATTTGTTTGATGTCACATCACACAATACTGAGTTCAACCAATCAAGGATCTCGACTCCGACTCGGTCCCTCGGAGGCAGGCGATATCCATCATCGTCATGCCGATTTGGCGATACGAGGGATGCAGCGCTGAACAGCAGTATATCTGGTACGAAGACTAGATCGCTATATCCTTCAACATCCCTCACTAGCTCGCACCTATCCCTCGAATATGACACTGGTCTCAAATGATCCCGCTTCGTGGCCGATAATCAATTCAAATGTTTATTTAAGCTATTTGATGGGTTCGTCGTATTAGTTGATGATGTCTCGAACTAACGTTGACTTGCGGCTTCGCAGTCGCCGCAGGCGTCGTGGTGGTATACGATTGGGGTGAGCAGAACAGTGTGTGAGAACTGCTAACATTCTCATGATGTTTCCAGTACTTACACTTGGACGAGAGGTAAGTCGATGTTATTCCCTGAGCAGCCAACTCGCTAAGTATGGTGTCATAGATTGAATTGATCTGGGTGAGTGACAGAGTCGCATCAGGGGAACTGCAACAGAATACAATGAATTTGGGGCAGAGACAACGCTGGTCTCTCATGACTGTGCTGTATCTGGTTGTTCGTACCTTATGTCATACTATGGCATGATTGGCAGTTGTGCTGACTGCAAAATGTTCTAGATACGCTATGTTGGAATACCATATTCTGTGTATGTTTTTGAAGCCAACAAGTTGGTACTGTACCAATAACCCATCTCTCATGATCAGCATCAACGTTCTGCGTATGTCTCAATGTGTACCGTGTTCGATTCTTCTGACCGGCGGAACACAGTACATATACCATTGGTCTCGAACACAGATGCAGTCAGTATTCCTCAACCGATTTTATTTTCATCCAATGAATCCACTAACTTGTATATTTGTAGGGGTGAGTGAGATTCTGACCATTCAACTTGGCTCAACATAATGACTCAATAGGTGTGAGTCGGAGTGTTTGATCCTCGTATGGTCACTAATTGGGTGTTTCAGGCAACATTATGATCTACGCATTGAATGGGACGGATGTGGTCGTAGCTACCATGCTGGGCGGTGAGTTGGCTGCAATACCTCAGTGATATTGACTCAACTAAAACATGATGCAAGTCATCATGATTGCTCGGTTACATGCCATGTATCAGAAATCTAGAATGATGCTTATCTTCCTTCTTATTATCTTCCTGGCTATGACTATCGCCTGGGGAGTACTCGTGGCAATATCACTCAAGTATACTGTAAAGGGTAAGCTTTACTTGTTGACTTGAAGAACACGGCTCATTGGACCAACACCAGAGGAGCTGATACTCTCTGGTACATATATGTGCGAGTATAGCTTTCAGGGTGACGTCCAGCTTCTTATTTCAATGCTTTGGGTGCTCTGCACCGTTTGGGAGGTCCTCGCACTGTGTCTTTCATTCTGGATTGCTGTGAAACACTTCCGTGACCTGCGACGACTCGGCCCATTGACAGGATTGACCATCAGGGACTGTTTCAGAGTGCTGGTAAAATCTCACGTGCTTTATTTTGCGAGGTAAGCTTGTAATGTGATTAATGTGCTCATCTTTGCATGCTTAAATTCCATACGTGCTAGCTTTGTTGGTGTCTCTTGCTTCCAGTTGGTTACTTTTTCTCCAGAGTCCAAGGTGCGCCGACCTGTCGCTGACATCTGCGTGCAACCACTAATGATTTCTGTAGAATTCAAATTCTATAAGAACCGACATACTCGATAGTGCCTGTCAAATTTTCTTGAGCGTGCAGATGTTTGTGCTGGGACCACGCCTCATCCTTAGCGTTCGAGAATATTACGCCAAGCTTGTGGCCGAATCCGACGCAGAAACTAGCATAAGTTCGATTTTCTTTCAGGAGCACGTACATGTGCAGACCAGCAGTACTGTGTAGGGAAATGCTTGCCGAGTGTTCTGCATGGAGGAGAAATTTGGTCGAGGATCTGTCGTAGTGTTTATTTAAGTTACAGTATATTTAAGACTAGGTTTGCGTAGACATTTCTCGCTAACTTAATACTGGAAGTCGATGAATCGCCCGCCCCCACTTCGGCTCTCTAGAATATTTCCAGTCTTCCTCCCGCTCAGGACATGATTCTACTATCTATTCAGTCCACTGCGATTGCTGCTGCTCTGAACGCTGAGCGCTGAGCGCTGAGTGCTACATAGCTGTACTTATGCCACGAACTCCAAAACGCCCGAGTAAAACGTCATAACAACAAATGTCGTGATAGTACACAAAACCAAATAGAAAAATGCGGATGTCGGCCCGGAACTTGGACAATGTACACCACCGACGACAATAGCGAGGTTCGAGACGTGAGTCACATTCAAATTCATCCATGCACTTTCCGCCATTCGTACACATCCAGAAATCGGTAGATTGGTACGTAGTAGCTGGAAATTAAAATATTCAATCGATACCCAGGACTTCCGGAACATATTTGTTTGACGTCACATCACAATACTAACTCCAAGGCCTTGACTCCCCGGGCTCGGTCACTCAGAGGCAGGCGATATACGTCATCGTCATGCCGATTTGGCGATACGAGCACTAGTGCAACGCTGAGCTCTGAGCGCTGAGCGCTGAACAGCAGTATATCTAGTACGAAGACTAGATCCGTTATAACCTTCAACATCCCTCGCTCGCTCACACCCATCCCTCGAATATGACACTGGTCTCAAATGATCCCGCTTCGTGGCCGATAATCAATTCAAATGTTTATTTGAGCTATTTGATAGGTTCGTCGTATTACTTAGTTGGTGATGTCTCGAATTAACGTTGACTTGCGGCTTCGCAGTCGCTGCAGGCGTCTTGATGGTATACGATTGGGGTGAGCAGGACAGTGTTTGAGAACTGCTAACATTCTCATGAGATTTCCAGTACTTACACTTGGACGAGAGGTAGGTCGATGTTATTCCCTGAGCAGCCAACTCGCTAAGTATGGTGTCGTAGATTGAACTGATCTGGGTGAGTGACAGTCACATATTAGGAGAAAAGCAACAGAATACAATGAATTTGGGGCAGAAGCAACGCTGGTCTCTCATGACTGTGCTGTATCTGGTTGTTCGTACCTTATGTCATACTGTGGCATGATTGGCAGTTGTGCTGACTCCAAAATGGTCTAGATACGCTATGTTGGAATACCATATTCTGTGTATGTTTTTGAAGCCAACAAGTTGGTACTGTACCAATAACAATAACCCATCTCTCATGATCAGCATCAACGTTCTGCGTATGTCTCAATGTGTACCGTGTTCGATTCTTCTGACAGGCGGAACACAGTACATATACCATTGGTCTCGAACACAGATGCAGTCAGTATTCCTCAACCGATTTTATTTTCATCCAATGAATCCACTAACTTGTATATTTGTAGGGGTGAGTGAGATTCTGACCATTCAACTTGGCTCAACATAATGACTCAATAGGTGTGAGTCGGAGTGTTTGATCCTCGTATGGTCACTAATTGGGTGTTTCAGGCAACATTATGAACTACGCATTGAATTGGACGGATGTGGTCGTAGCTGTCATGCTGGGTGGTGAGTTGACCAGCTGCAATACCTCAGTGATATTGACTCGACTGAAACATGATACAAGTCATCATGATTGCTCGGTTACATGCCATGTATCAGGGATCTAGAATGATGCTTATCTCCCTTCTTATTATCTTCCTGGCTATAACCATCGCCTGGGGAGTACTCATGGCAATAGCACTCAAGTATACTGTAACGGGTAAGCCTACTTTTGACTTGGGGAACACGGCTCATTGGACCATCACCAGAGGAGCTGATACTCTCTGGCACATATATATGCGATTATAGATTTAAGAGGGACGTCCAGCTTCTTATTTCAATGCTTTGGGTGCTCTACACTGTTTGGGAGGTCCTCGCACTGTGTCTTTCATTCTGGATTGCTGTGAAACACCTCCGTGACCTGCGACGACTCGGCCCATTGACAGGATTGACCATCAGGGACTGTTTCAGAGTGCTGGTACAATCCCACGTGCTTTATTTTGCGAGGTGAGCTTGTAATGTGAATATGCTCATCTCTGCGTTCTCAAATTGCGTACGTGCTAGCTTTGTTGGCGTCTCTTGCTTCAAGCTAGTTACTTTCTCTCCAGAGCTCGAGGTGCGCCGACCTGTCGCTGACATCTGCGTGTAACCACTGCTCATCATTTTTATAGAATTCAAATTCTATGAGAACCGACAGCCTCAATAATGCTTGTCAAATTTTCTTGAGCGTGCAGATGTATGTGTTGGGACCACGCCTCATCCTTAGCGTTCGAGAATATTACGCCAAGCTTGTGGCCGAACCCGACGCAGAAACTAGCATAAGTTCGATTTTTTTTCAGGAGCACGTACATGTACAAACCAGCAGTACTGTGTAGGGAAATGCTTGCGGTGTGTTCTGCATGGAGGAGAAATTTAGTCGAGGATCTGTCGTGGTATTTATTTGAGTGACAGTATATTCAAGACTAAGTTTGCGCAGACATTTCTCACTAAATACTGGAAGTCGATGAATCGCCCACCCACACTTCGGCTCTCTGGCTTATCATTTGAATGTTCATTTGAAAATTACTGATATATTTCTCCATAGGTGTTAACTAACACGATCAAGAATTTGTATTCCCTACGGCATCGTTATACTACAAGGTAACAGTACAAACTGTAATATGAATTGCATTACAATAATATTGTGTTTTTGGAAAGAGGCCTTCTCTATAATATGTCTAGTTAGACAGTCGCTTGATCTTCATAATGATCGCTATAGGAAAGCCACAATTAATATCAGTCAGCATCAAATTCAAGAATAAGACGAACATTGAGGGTCAAGGTTTTGATGAGGAATTTGCTCGGACAAACCACCACAGCCCTCCTTGGTCGTACCCATGTAGCCATACTTGGGTGTGAGCTGGCGCTCGATAAGCCAAGTACCCATCTTCGAACCAAGCTGAAACACACGTTAGTGTGAATCTACCGCACGCGAACGGATACGTACCCCAGTCTTCTGGTTCAGTGACTCAACGACCAGTACGAAGGGGCTTGAACCGATCTTCCTAAGCGTTTGTTCATCGACCAGGTTGAGCGTAGGCTTGTTGATCAAACCAACATCCAGACCCTCCTGGCGGCAGCGCAGGACAGCATCCCACGAGCGGT